CCTATGACATTCTGTGACATACTTACATTTTCATTTTGACATAACATAACCCTTTCAACCAATCTTCTCTAATAGGTAAGAATTTTTTATCTAACTAATTATCCTTAAATGGGATATGCATCACAAGGCTTCCCCCACCTTTTTTTTTTTTTTTTTTTTTTTTTTGGAATTTGGAAGTCTTATCACAATAAGAAATCTTTAAGATTTTAGAAGACTGGTACACTTGGAATGATTGATAAACTTAAGACACTGTGAGATCAACAATGAGCTACCATACCTATGTGCAAACCTTTGCTTCTTAATTTAGTTGAATACCAAAACCATTTTAAAGAGAAAACTCAATTTTGATTTTTCTGGAAGACTTTTTTTTTTGTTAATTTATTTATTTGTGTGTGTGTGTGTGTGTGTGTGGCCAGCTCAGCCCACCAGGGGGTGGGGCTGGCTGGCATGTGGTGCTGGGGGATTGAACTGTGGTCCCTTGTGCTTTGCTAAGCTTGTTCTAAGTAGGTGCTTTAAACCACTGAGCCATCTCACCAGCCCTTCCTAAGAGATTATTGAGATGATTGGGAATGCCTCATTAATGAATAAAAGTTGGCCACACCTCTTTTCATCAATAGGCCTCCTCTCTGAATAATTTCTCCCCACTCTAAGGAATTTTTGCCTAATTAATTTAAACTTTTCAATAAACTGTATAAACTTTTTTTTTTTTTTTTTTGTATTTTAGGGAAGGGCCTACAGGGTGTTCAGGGTCTCACTACTAGATCAGACTCATAGTGATCCACCTGTCTCTCAAGTGCTGGGTGAGCACCACCAAGCCCAGTCTCAATTGTAGGTCTCAGCACACCCAGGGGGCATGGGACTAGCATAGCAGGCCCTGGGGATCGAACCCCAGTTCCTGGGCCTGCTTGTAGGCACTTTAATCCACTCAGTTATTTGACTGGCCTTTAAGCACTTGATTGGGAAGGAAACCTTGCTGTAACATCTAATGAGTACCAGGGAGTTAGGACTAGCCAAAAATGCTCCCATACCCTGTAATATGTCATGACCCCATAGACTGACTGGTATATGGGGAAGGACATAAGGAGAAAAATATCTAGAAGGGCCTTCTGCATCCCTCCAAAGTACCGATTTAGCACTTCTGCTAGGATAAGAAACCCTGCCCACCCCTTGTAAATCTGTAGTGGCCACATCCAGAGGCCATGCCCCAGGCCAGTGACGCTGAGCAATAACTGAAACGTCTGTACCCATGTCCAATAGCCCTTTAAATGCTTGTCCTTCAGTAGTCAACTCCATCTCTGGGCGATTTTGTTTAATCTGCTGAACACAAGAAGTATTAGGAGATCCAAATATAAAGAAGTTATCAGAGCTTGTAGCCCTTTGGAGGCCACCACCAGGCCTTTTATCATTTAGATGGATGTCAAAATCAAGCTACTGTTTAAACCGCACTGCTTTTAGGTTGTACTCCAAACCTCTATATTTGTTTATAAAATATCAATGCTTTGTTTTAATACCAATTTTAATTTGGGGTTGTAAAACAAGCAATCTATCTTATTAGGAATTAAAGAAATTTTTCAAAATTTTAAAAATATCCCCGTTATTGTAAATCTTCCAGATTTTTTTTAAAGCAAACTGTTTTTGTCTTCTTCCTTTTTTTTTTTTTTTTTTGGCGGAACCAGGAATTGAACTCAGGCCCTTGCTCTTGCCAGAGCAAACACTTAATTCTACTGAGCCATCTCCCCAGCCCCTGTTTTTATCTTTAGAATGGAAACAGACTTTTTAATCTAACCACCTTCAGAGGAAAATGTAAAAATTTTTCTTTTAGTGTCAATTGTCATGGATAGAAACAACCACTCTACTTCCAGCTTTTCTGCTAAACTCTACTCTGGGAGGAATGGCCCTTTCTATCTCTCCAGGTGGTCAATCCAGCTGCCTTACCTGGAGGCCATCCATATTTGCATCTGAAAAGCCCTTTAAAATGTTTTTTTTTCCTTTAATCAATCAGTGCCTATTTTTTCTTTACTAACTTTAAAAATTTATCAAAGAATGACCAGCTGAGCAATATAAGAGTCTGCTGTGGTTTATACAATGATTTTGGTGGATTGAATTATAACTCTGATTTCCCTGCATAATCGGCACCGATGACACTAGGCAAAAATCTGGAGACCTTTTAAAGTGAGATTGTTGCAGCCTAGCAAGATTCCCACTGTCCCCTGACGCTCCGGTAGGAATAACTTGGGCCCCATTTGAGGAGTCAATTGGAATCTGGAGAAGGAGCGGAGGTCCAAGCCTGTGCTATCAGTTGTTGCTCCCCAGAGGTCAAAGACGCTTGTGGCAGGGGAAGGGAAAGTCCCTGCATTGTTTGATGGGGCCGAGGTGGGCCCCATTGGAAGTTTCCCTGTTTTGTTTGTTTCTTTTTGCGGAACCAGGGATCAGGCGCTTGCGCTTGCCAGGCAAGTGCTTATTCTACTGAGCTATTTCCCTGGCCCCTGGAAGGTTTTATTGAAGAGACAGATAAAGGCAGACGCAGCAGAACAGTTTCGGGCTAAATGTCCCCTGTCCCCACAACAGAAACAAATGACGTTGCTTTTCCCCCTTTTTTGGACTGTGGATGAATAACCTGAGTTAAGAGCCGATGCCAGGGCGGCCCCCTCTGTTTATGAGGGGCCAAAATCCGCATAAATCCGAATCGTGCTCAGGCAGCGTAGCCTGCTTCTTATGGGCTCTTAAAGCTTCTTTACAACTTTTTTTTTTGCACTTTTGAAGGCCAATTGTTGAACTATTAATTTGCTAGCTTCTGTGTCACTGTTAATCCTCTCAGTAGCTTGCAACAAACTGCAGCAAAATCTGGGAAAAGTTTATCAGGGCCATCTCTAACAGAAGCCAAATTAAGGAATGTTTCACTCTTACAAAGAAGTTCCGGGGCCTGCCCCTTAGCTCAGTTCTTTAAGTGGCTGCTTCAACAAAGCAGTCAGGCTCAGGTTGCTGTGGTTTGATCCCCAGGACTCAAACCTGCGCTGAAGGCATTCAGAGCCAACAACAACAAAAACCAATCCTGGGGCCAGGGAGATGGCTCAGTGGAATAAGTGCTTCCCTGGCAAGTGCAAGGACCCTAGTTCTAATCCCTGGTTCTGC